CGGCTATTTTAGATCTTATTAAGTTAATATTTTTTTCCTTAAAATTAAATCAAGATTTTAATGATAAAAAAAAGAGGAAATCTAAAAAAAAAAAAAAATTGAAAAATCTGAGGAACTAACGGAAAAAGATTTAAATTTTATATTTAGTGGAAGAAATTATTAAATTATTAACAATTATATTCCATAATTAAATAATACATTTACGTCCAAAAAAGGAAATTTAAAAGAAACATTATACAAACAATAATATTTGTATTATTTTATTGTATAGTTGATGAAACTTTATATGTATACTATGTAATATATTAAACGACAACTTTGTTTTGAATTTTCCACTTTCTGATAAATTTTGTTTACTTCAAAAAAATAGAGGAACTTGTGTATGAGCTTTTGATGAAACTTTGTAATGAAGAAACTCTTTTAAAAAATTACATGTAATAAATAAAATTTTCAGTATTATTATTCAAAAACCACTATCACTTCTTTGTAACATCTGGCACCTTGGCATCACCTGGCACCCGGAACCGCGATACACATGTGACCTTGAGGGTCCTCGCATGCGACGGTGGGGCGACGGGGAGGCACGCCTTATATACCTCGTAGTGTGAGAGGGTCTTGAACACGTATGGGCGCATCGCTATGACTCTTACAGGCGGATAAAAAATTTATTAAAGAATGTTTTTCTGTTTACCGTGGTCTTCCGGCTTTGTGGAACATAAAAAATAGAGATTATAATAATCGCGGGAAAAAAGAATACGAAGTGTTGTTAAAAAAAATTGAACAAAATTTCCAAATGCTGAGAAGCAAGATGTGATTAAAAAAATTAATTGTCTAAGAACAAACTTTCGAAAAGCGTTAAAACGTCAAAATGTGAAACTTTGGTATTTTGAAGAATTGAAATTTCTTCTTCAAGAAACAACCCCTCGAACTACGGTAGAACATTGTGGATAGAAATAAAACACCTTCCGCATAGTAAGTCACACTATCAACGACTATTTTTCTAGTTCTGAAACTTTTCTTTATAAATTATTTTCTTTTCAGACGAATGAAGAAAAAAATGAAAAGAATAATTCGGTATTAACTAATATATACGACGGCTTCAAAAATATCATGATTGTGATATTACAGCAGCGGGATGGATGATAGATCTCAAAAAAATGAATTCGAAACAACAGATTTTTGCAAAAGAAGCGATCAATGACATATTACTCGAGGGACAAATGGGGACCTTGCACAGTAATTCGATACATATCAATACGTTTATTACTCCATACAGTGTTAGGTCTCCCTCTGTGTTCGATTTGAACACCCCCTCAAGGCTCAGTCTTGCAATAAAGACGGCCATAATTATCACGCAAGTTTTATTTCATTTGAACAAATTGTATAAAAATGTCTTTTAAAAAATTGTTTCATAAATCAAACTTTAATTATTTTTGCAATGAACAATTCTTTGTATTTATTGTGATTCAATACAAAACCAAAAACTATATCATTTTTTTGTAAGAATTAATAAATTAAAGAATTGTGTAAGTGTAACTGTTTTGTTATTGACACATTTACCTTCCCCTCCCCCCATCCACTCCGTTCCGTTCCGCCTCTTTGTGCCCGACTAAACCGGTCCACCTCGCCTTCGCCCCGGCCTCGCCTCACCTTGACCCCTTCCCCAAACTCTGTTCCGCCTCCTTGTGCCCGACAAAACCGGTCCGCACCGCGACGATCCCTCGCCTCGCCTCGCCTTGCCCCTCCACTCCGTTCCGCCCAGAAACCTCTCACCGAGACATACCTTTTCACGAGTAATTTGTTTATGGTATCAGTATCAAAAATTTATTTTTATCTTAAATGCATACAAGCAAAAATATGTTTATGGTAATTAAACCATACCTTAAAAAAGTGGAAAGTGTGTTTTTAAATATTGGCATAATATTTTATACATTTCCTATTTAATATAATAATGATCTAAACATAACAACCATGGAATTGGGGTAGCAAATTTATAATCAATTATATTGTTTTTTGATCCATAATTAATTACTGTATCAATAATAAAAACTATAACATTACATTCAACATTATAAAACTCCATCTGATATTTAATCCTTCCAGATATGTCATATTACGAAATTGTAATTGTTTTATACTATTACAAAATGTATAAAAATGTTACATTCATTCATGGGATCTTTTGATAATGAATTGAATATAACACAATCATATAATGGAGTCGAACTGTTTATTATCCAATTTATAAAGTTATTACCAAACATAATTGAAAAGGATTGCCATTGGTAGCCAAGAAACGGCCACATTTTAAAATATAAATATTGATTATTTTCTACAAACATTTTATCATACATATTATGTAACCATGGTTAAATATATATATGTTCCAAGGCAAGACAAAAATAAAACTAAATATAACCAAGCAGGAACGAAATTTTGCGTTATAGGAAGAAATACATGCGACAGTACGTTTATAACCCAAATTCCATAGGCCGCGAGTAAAGCTTTATATAGCTTGACACTCCATTCTATAAGAAACCATGATTTATTATTCACAAACAAACAATCCAATGTTGGTAAAGCGTGTTTAAATTTGTATAATAAAGCATCTTTCAAATGAAAAGGTAAATCAACCAACATATATACAAATTTCGGAAAATCAGTATCTAATAGTTTCCACGGAATTGTATTAAAATTCATGTCTAACATATCTGAACAAGCGACTCGTAAGTCAAACAAATAATTTTCTAGAGATGTATCTGTACTGAAATATTCATATATGATATTTAAAACCATCCTTTTTTTAATTTTTTGATTTTCAGTTTCGATTGTAGACTTCTATTCATCGTCTAAAATAGTTTGTTCCTTGTTTTTGTTTAATATATTATATTCATGTATCATCATGTTGATAAACATGTCGATTGGTTTTTTATGATTGAATATAGACACACCTCTTTTATGAACCCTATGATGTACTCTATGATATAAATTGTAGTCTGGAATAGATATACAATCTTGTATCATAGGAAAATAATATTCATTTATAAACTTGTCAAATGAATGTAATATTGTAGAATAGTAATTCGATGATATTGAAAAAAGGTAATGCGATGAAAAGTGTTTTTTTAAATGTTGGCATATTATTTTACATTGAAAGTCTTCTTTAACCAACTTTTTTATCAAAGGCATTTGTGCTAATTCTTTCCTTTTCATACGATTGAATTCGTAACAATGTTCATCTTTTAAACTACTTTCTCTATAGTCTTCACTAATTCCATTGAATGTATCTGTCACAAAATTTATTTTGTAAATATTTTTTTACAATCGCTGTAATTGAAATAAAATTTAAAATCATATTTTAAATCATAAAAATTTCTCGGTTGTTCTTTTAAATGCTTTAAAATAATCAAATTGTTTGATAACCATTTAACGATATTAATAATATCGTTATCATAGTTTTTTCACAGTATGTATGTATTGTAGAAGTAGAAATATTGTTAATATATTCCTTGTTATAAAATTGACACGCAATTTTTAGACATTCTATAAAATGAGTAAAACCAGATTTGATATCAGTCACTTTAGATCTGACACGACACAACACTTTGATGATATTGTTGTGAAACGCAAACTGATACTCGTTTATATAATCCTTCTAATAAGGTAACGGGTTTTCTCAACTCTCGCGAGAGAATTTTCGCGAAATGTCGTCACCGCGTTGATTTCCCCTACCAGCATTGTCTTGTAACCACCTGCGCGGAAATGTATACCAGACACACTGAGGTCACAAACGACGTGTGGTGAAGAGTTTGTATCAATCAGTTTCATACAATATTAAAATATTATTGCGCAATATTGACACTGCGTATAAACGAATGTCTTTTTTCCATCCATTTAATGTACAGTAAATGGATGGAAAAAGGATGCACAAAAATGACAGTGTAAAACAGAAGATGTCAACTGGAATAAAGGAAAGTATTTTTTTAATAAAGCAAGTTTTTATTTTATTTAAAACATATAAAATGGATCATCACAGAATCATGAAAAGTAGTTTCATTAGAGCTAATCTAGAATATTTAACGAAAAAATAAATAAGGGAATAATTTTTCCAATTTTGCCTTTTTTTGTTTTTCTCAGGATGTAGATACAAAATCATTTTTTTTTCGTTAACACATTACCAACCCTACCAATCAATGTGGTGTAACATTTATTCTGTGCTTAAACTCAGAATAGCAGAAGAATAGCGAAAAACTCCTACCAATAAACATGGACTAACTCGAGCACGGAGAGACACGTGTAAATGTGGAATAACCTGGAAATAACCTAGAAATATGAAAACATGTAAATAAGCACAAACTGTTTGTGCGTTTTGCTTTATTATATTTCTAATTTTCAATTCGCCTGTACTAGTTTATTTCGTGATTCATTAATTTGAGGACTTTTGATATTGGAAACTTCGAAGTGATTTTTGTTGGCGTTTCTTATTAGAAATAGAAGTTAAACAACATTAATGGAATGTACAGACAGCAAAAGTAACCAGACACGTGTGAATCTTTTTGAAGGGTTTAGGGTTGAATTTCGAAATAAAAACGTGGGATGGTACACATCCCTAATAGGCCCATAGCGAGTGTATTGTAAGTATTTAAGGATATACATTGTTTTATTTTAATAAAGTAAATAGTGTTATCCTATGACCCACAAAAAAACATGAAAAACAAGAAAAAAATACTGTTTGGAGATGTTTGTTATATTGAAAAGCTGTTTTCAATGCTCCGACTGCGTCTATTTATACTACCAATAGTAACAGATGTTCGATGAGCAGCAGCAGTTTGGAGAACAAGAAAAGTTATACTTGTATGTCTGACACTAAATATATATTTATTTTATAAATATGCTCCAGTGTTGCAGCTATTGAACATTTAAATTTTTAGGTAATAAATTCTTCTTTATGTTCAAGAATACAGAAAATTTATTTTCATTGAGTGTTTTGAGAAAAACTTTGTATTTTAAAATTAATTTCCATGCTGCTAATTTCTTACTAGTTTTTCTACAAAAAATACAAGAACTTAACTATTGCCTACCAAATTCACATTAAAACATTATGACAATATTTTTTTATTAATCAGGTATTGTCATAAAATATTTGTTTGAACTTCAAATCTATTAATTTGAGTTCAATTTGTTTTTAGTCTGATACCTGGGGATGGCTCAATATTTTTGACATTTTTTTCAGTTTTTATGAAAATTTGCTATGTAACTTTTAGTTATAAAATGTTAGTTAAAAGAATAATAGTACATACATGTAGTTGGGAATACAATTATTGCCCTAATATTGCGCAAATTTATTGTAAAAAATATTGTGCAAATTTATTGCCAAAAGCTGTGACTCATAACTTACGTACTCAATCTTGCCTGTATGCGGGCCGCTGGCATTGAAGTAACACGCTGTGCTGAATAATATATTCCACGCGGAAATTGTACAATCACGCTATACGTTCTCGAACACTCTCAATCAATCTTTGTCGCGCATAATCGGTCGGTAATAATTGTGGCTTAAAGCTATTGAAAAACCAGAATGTTAAGCAAATTAAAGGAATGGCAAAAGTCAATAAGCAGAAAATATTGATGATTGGAAAATATTAACGCATAGTATGAAAGTAAATTTCAGTACAAAAGCAAAGCATTCAGGATTCGAACCCAGATCCCCAACAAGGTCGGGAATTTTTCCCACGACATACCCGCGTAGGTAGAACAGGAAAGAAGAAGTTTTAAACCGTGGGAAGTGTCGTTTGGCCACCAAAAAAAAAAAAACCTTCACACGCCGATCGAAAGCGCGCAAGAGGTACTAGAGAAAACGTTCTTTGTGCTCGGACGCTCCGTCGCTTCATTTAAGCACTACGAATTTTGCAACATAAATTGTTTATAAGCCGTTTTCTCGGCAACCGAAGCAGATACGGACACCGGGTTACTTTTGTTCGATAGAAAACTCGAACGGGTGACGAAAATGTCGGGGGAATCGAAAGCGTGGAACGCTTCGTTTCGCCGCTAGCAAAGATTGCGGATTAATTGTTTATAAACAAATAACTCCGAGACTAGGCGAGATATCGACTCGCAGTTTCCACCGCCGTGTTCCAAACGACGACGCAAAACGATCTTTTTAACTAAAACGAGGTCTCGCGAAGGCAATTGTTTAAACAAATTCACGCGTCTCGGAAAATGTTCACGCGAAACGCGCCGTTTCGGTTACTGTCGAAAAGCTAAGAACCGCCGATGCGCTTCGACGCTTAGTTCGCCGCAAAAAAAATAAAAACGCGTCGCAACTTGGATTCAAAAAAAGTCCCCTCCCCTTCCGCTTGAAAAATTCGTACTTCACGACTCGTTCGAGACAGAGACGCGGTTTGAAAGGCGGGGGTCTGGAGGACGGGGCGCGTCGCGCGAACGCCAAAAAACGAAGGGCTTGTCATGAGACGCGAATTTATTATAAACAATCACAAAAATTATCAAAGAAAAATAAATTCAAAAAATCATAGGTTTACGTCGGAAACAACAGACGGTGAGACGCTTTTTCAGAGTCGCGCTGGACTTTGAAAAATTTTCAATGTTTGAGAGAAAAAATTCAACTCGCTAAGTTTGGGGAGGGGAGTCTGTACGAGGGTGGGGATGAAGGAGATAGAGCGACGGGGAGGGGAGAGACATGTATATATTGGTGTAATTCGTACACTGAGTCGTATAGTTGTAAACATGGATTCAACAAATAAGTCAATAATCCAAATGGGGAGAGGTGAAATAGAAATTACAAATATAAAATTTGATGAGAAGTTTCTTTTCAATTTAAGAACCAGTCTACAAGAGATTGAAGAGAAAGAGTTATCTACAGCGCTAAGCCACGCCAATAACACGGTGCAACAACCGAAGAGAGCCACGCCGCCAGTACAGAGCCGATCGTACGTTACAGAGCCGATCAGAGAGGACACCAAGCCACGCCGCCAACAATACATGTTGCAGCGAGGACGCCAAGCCACGCCAGCAGCACGGGAAGAATGGAAGCAGGAGAAATATGGATGGAATGAAACAATAGATTCTGAAGAAAATTGGGACGATTGTGTGTATCCGTGACTTTGTTAGCGTAATCAAGCGTAATCCAGTGATTTGTGTTGTAAAGTAGTTGCAAAGTTGTCTGATAACGGAAAAAACGATTCGGGTTTTGAGAGGTGACAGGTCAGGAACTGAGGTATATTGAAAAAAAATGATTCGGGTGTTTGAAAGATGTGACAGGTCAGGAACTGAGGTATATTTACAGACACAGAAATAATACAAATATCCATAACAATATAGTGTTCTGGGAAAGCCGGTTACAAAACTTGTAGCTCCTGGGAAAAGACCGATTATATACTCGTGTACATCGTGTATTTTTTACATTTGGTTGCATTTCCGAATTGACATTTTTCGACCTCGTATTATCGTGACATTTATAATAACACTTCCAAACGACAAGAGTTTTTGTGGTTGGTCGAGTCGTTTGAACAGTGTATGTTGTTTTTGTATGTTCTTGAAAACATTTTATCCAGTTTTTCGCTTCATCTTTAGTTTTTACATTTAGCGCAAACTGTAGACGAACTCCGTTATGATTGTGTTGTTCTTCCTTTTCAACACGCAATATTTTATACCTGTACATACTATTATTTTTATGCAAGATATTCTAAAAAAAATAATTTATTAGTATTTAATATACATTTTTAACAGATTCTATAAAAAAATTATACACACCTCTACGTCAACATCTTGTTCTATAGACGTAACTTCCTGGGAAGTAAATAAAATATTTTTAATTAAG